TTGGGGGGTAACTCAACAGGACTAGGACCAGGCTCCAGAGAAAAGTCGAGGGTTCTTTCTTGAGCACTGGATGGATGGAACATCACATCTTTGCTCAGGAATCACAGAAGGGGCAGATCATGAGTTTTGTGTGGGAAATACTGAGTTTAAGGTGTCCTTGTGACATCTGGGAGAAGGTGTCCAGGAGGCTGCTAGAGCCAGGGTCTAAGGACTCATGGGAATGACTTGCACCAAAAAGAGAAATTTGGGAGCTGTCAGCCCCGGGAGTAGGAGAGGGACCTATGGGCATTAATGAGATCTCTGACAAGGGTTGTGTAGAATGAGAAGGAGAGGGAACTGGAAAATAAAGGTGGGCTGTTTCACCCCTTCAAGATAACCTGTACATTTTCATGGAGACTTTTTTTCCCGAGAGATAAAGATGCAGGCCAAAGGAGTGACTCTCGGTGGCGTGCATTTTAGGTGCCCTGGACTGGTTGATCAGGGAGGAGGAACTGGGGAGGGGATGGTTGGGTTAATGGTTTGAATAATGGATGGATGGATAGGTGGGTGGGTGGATGGGAGGATGGAGGGGTGGCAGGATGGGAAGATGGAGGGGTGAATGGATGGGTGGATGGATGGACGGATGGGTGGACGGGTGGGTGGATGGGTGGATGGATGGGTGGATGGAAGGATTTATGGACAGGTGGGTGGATAGATGGGTGGGTGGATGGGTGATGGACGAGTGGGTGGACAGGTGGATGGATAGATGGATGGGTGACTGGACAAATGGATGGATGAGTAGATGGGTGGATGGGAGGATGGAAGGGTGGATGGATGGTGGATGGATGGACAGGTGGGTAGATGGGTGGATGTATTGGTGGGTGGATGGGTGAATGGAAGGGTGAATGGACAGGTGGACAGATAGATAGATGGGTGGATGGACAGGTGGATGGATGGGTAGATGGGTAGATGGATAGATGGATGAATGGGTGGATGGATGGGTGAGTGGGTGGATGGGTGGGTGGATGGAAGGTTGGATGGAAGGATGGACAGATGGATGGGAGGATGGGCAGGTGGATGCATGGGTGGATGGAAGGGTGGATGAATGGGTGAATGAATAGATGGATGGGTGGATGGATGGGTGGATGGACAGGTAGATGGGTGGATGGGTGGGTGGATGGAAGGGTGGATGGATGGATGGGCAGATGAATGGGTGGATAGACAGGTGGATGGATGGTGGATGGAAAGGTGAATGGACGGATGGGTGTATAGATGGATGGGTGGATAGACAAGTGGATGGGTGGGTAGATGGGTGGAGGGGTGGATGGGAGGATAGGGGGGTGGATGGATGGGTGGATGGATGGACAGGTGGGTGGATGGGTAGATGAATTGGTGGGTGGATGGGTGGATGGAAGGGTGGATGGACAGGTGGACAGATAGATAGATGGGTGGATGGATAGATGGATGGGTGAATGGACGGGTAGATGGGTGGATGGATGGATAGATGAATGGGTGGATGGATGGATGGGTGAATGGATGGATGGGTGAATGGGTGGTTGGGTGGGTGGATGGATGGATGGACAGATGGATGGGTGGATGGACAGGTGGATGGACGGGTAGATGGGGTGGATGGTTGGATAGGTGGGTGAATGGGTAGACGGATTGGTGGGTGGATGGATGGATGGATGGGTGGATGGATAGATGGATGGGTGGATGGATGGATAGATGGGTGGATGGATGGATAGATGAATGGGTGGATGGATGGATGGGTGAATGGGTGGATGGGTGGGTGGATGGAAGGGTGGATGGATGGGTGGGTGTATAGATGGATGGGTGGATGAACAAGTGGATGGACGGGTAGATGGGTGGAGGGGTGGATGGGAGGATGGGGGTGGATGGATGAACAGGTGGGTGGATGAGTAGATGGATTGGTGGGTGGATGGATGGATGGATGGGTGGATGGAAGGGTGGATGGACAGGTGGATGGATAGATGGATGGGTGGATGGACGGGCTTTAGGTGCCCTGGACTGGCTGGTCAGGGAGAGGATCTGGGGAGGGGATGAGTGTGTGGATGGGTGGATAGATGGGTGGGTGGGTGGGTGGATGGATGGATGGAAGGAAGAGAAAAGATGACTGTAGGGCACCAGGCATTTTGTCTGCCACCTGACTCCTAAGGACACTTTAGGATCCTCTTGCCAACACTTCATAGTTTGGAAGTAAGGTGGCAGTCAGAGTACCTAGTGCCCTAAAACCGGTCTTTCTTTCTCCCTCCTTCCATCTGTCTGTCCATCCACTTTTCAGTCTACCAACCCACCCATCTTCCACCCATTCTTCCATCTATTAATTCATCTTCCATCCATCAGTCCAACAATAAGTATTTATTTATTGAACACCTTCTGTGTCATCAGCCCCACTTTTCCATGTTGATATTTCCATCTAGCCAAGAGTTATAAACCCAGGACTAAGCTCTCTATCTTTCCTTCTGCAAATGTCACAACAATCAAGAGTACGCAATAACTTTGAGGCACCTGAGGTTTTTTAGCAGTGGGCTACAGGATCTGAAATCCAGGCTTGAGACTGGGCCGCACGAAGAGTTTTAGTGATGGCATACAGAGGGTTCGTGTGGCCAGCAGGGATTCAAGCACAAGTACCAAGAAAAGTTTCAATAACACCTTTTTTCCTTCAGTACTTATCGTTTGAGATGCCCCAGTTTCATAAGATAATGTGAGTGAAATTAAACCTGAACAGCTCAAGACAGAGTAATTAATGATGTCCTGATTCAGTTACAGTTACTAATGGATGGGACTGATGCCTGAGGCAGCCATTTGTCCGATAGCAGTTGGAGTGTGGTCCCCACTGGGCTCCAGACTTAGGGCTTGCCAGAATCTGGACAAATTCTCTTTGCCTCTCCTGCCCAAAGACAGGCCACAGTTGTATTCAGGCGGCCAGTGCAGACCACCAGCCACCATGACAGACTCCACAGTGACGTGTACCACCTGCTGCCAGAGACAGGGATTAGAGGCCTGGACTACTTCTGCGGACGGGGCCCGTTTGGCCTCTCGGTTGAGTAAAAGCCACTTGCCAGCCCAGTGGCTCACACCCTGGGTCCACATCAGTGTCACCTGGAGAGCGTTTATGGCAAGGCAGTGCCAGGGTCCCCGGTCCCCGGACCGGTGCTCCGGCATGTCTGCTCGGCCTTGACAGCTGGGTGGGAACCACTGGGCTTTGCCCATGGCTCCAGGCTGGTTGAACGGGAGCTTTCGGACCTGCAACTCCCTGCTGTCTGGAAGGGGCTCGTCTGAGCTGGCTCCCCAGGAGGAAAGCTCCCGCCCTCCACTGGGGGCTTTTATAGGACGAATGCACTGCGGCCCAAGGCCTGTGGCTTTGCGGCTGGACCCAGGCGACGCGGGCGCCACCACGGCAAAGCCCGCGGGCCTTTGTGCTGAGCGCCCTCTCTCCCCACGGGCCAGGCCTCTCGCTGGTGGTGGGCCTGGTGCTCTACATCTCCAGCATCAACGACGAGATGCTCAACAGGACCAAGGACGCCGAGGCCTATTTCAGCTACAAGTACGGATGGTCCTTTGCCTTCGCTGCCATCTCCTTCCTTTTAACTGAGGTAAGCTCTGTCCCCCTGAAGAGACACAGGTTGGGTGGGGCTGGGCGCTGCCCCTGAGCCAGGAGGGGGTAAGCACTCGACAGGCACGCTGGACCACCCCAGCTGCTTCCCATCTTCCTCCCAGCATGTGCCACTCCCTTGCCTTCCTGGGTCTCCTCCATCCGGACTGTCCCCAGGGCCCTGCTCCTGTCCCCACACCCACTTGCTGGCCCCCGAGTCGTGTCCTGTGAGGATCCCAGCCAGGGGAGTCAAGGCAGGCCCTGCAGTGCGTTCCTCTCTGCTGTCTTGTGCCGTAGAGTGCCGGGGTGATGTCCGTGTACCTGTTCATGAAGAGATACACTGCCGAGGACATGTATCGGCCTCACCCGGGCTTCTACCGCCCTCGGCTGAGCAACTGCTCCGATTATTCAGGCCAGTTCCTACACCCTGACGCCTGGGTCCGGGGCCGCAGCCCCTCCGACATCTCCAGCGAGGCGTCCCTGCAGATGAACAGCAACTACCCAGCCTTGCTCAAGTGCCCGGACTACGACCAGATGTCGTCTTCGCCCTGCTGAACCTCGGCCGTGTCTCCCTGGGCTGTGGGCAGCCAGACAGTCCTTCCCGTTCTCCCTGGGTGACCCCTGAGCCCCAAGCCTGTGGCGGATAGGCCCGGGCTACCCACGCCTCGCTGTTGTAACTTGACTCGTGCCCTCTCCCTGCTTCTCCAGATGTTTCCCAGCTGCCTCCGCGGGTGTGGCAGTCGGGAGCTGGCAGGCAGGCTGATTGTCAGGGCGCATGGGTGAAGCTCCACCCATGTGAGGGCCAAGCCACCGCTCTCCTCGTGCCCTGAGAGGCAGGTGTTGATGTTCCCATGTCTACTGTTTCTGCACTCCCAACGTCATGGCCGCCGGCCAGCCCGCTCTGAGATGCCAAGCTCCTGACCCAGAGGCAGCTGGTGGTGCTCTTGCTACCGGCCCGGCCCCCACGCTTTGGTCTGCGCCACCAGACCAAAAGGTGACTCTGGTGGAGGTCTGGCTTGCTCCAAAACGTCCAGCTGGCAGTGTTCCTTCTGAAATCCTCCCTTCTTTTCCATCCCCCGTTTCCCTCCAGGCACACGCCAGCCTGTGCTCTCCCTCTCCCCTCCTCGGCACAGGCTCCAACCTTTTCCTCTTTCCTTCCACCAGAGCTCCGCAGTCCTGAGCCCAGAGCGCTAAGCATGGGTCTGAGGCCACAGGGGGCGACGTCGCAAAGAGGTGTTAATGGCTGAAGATGCCGACTATGGATGGCCCTTTGGTCACATATTCAACGGGGCCTTTCATGCCTTAACCCAAATAATTGATTCCAACAGTGAGAATTCTAGAATTTGGCTGATCTGCATTCACACGACCAGGCACTGTTTCCTGCCCTGTGGTTACTCAAGGCTCTAAAATCTAATCCTATGGACAGACGTCTATGCCGCCTAAGTAGAAGACAGCTCTCCAAGAGGATACCTGCAATTTGCAGCTGGATTTGGTGACTCCCGATGCATTTTGAGGCAAATCACGGCCTACTTGGAATGATTCAACTGCTCTCCTGGGGTTGCCTGTGAACACTTGGAGGTTGTCAGTTTAATCCTAATGTAGGGAAGTTTCCACTTCCCAGGCATAGACATATGTAGGTGAAACAGATACCTCCGGAGGACCAGGCAGCGCAACACTCGCTTTCCTGGCGGGAAACCCGAGCGGGCGAGGCTTGAGTGACCTTCCGCGAGTCTGTGGAAGGAAAGCCGCGGGGAAGCCACCACCAGCTTCTCCAGGTGTCGGCTCAGCCTGTGCGTTTTTGATTTTGTGGTTTCAAGTGGCAAAACGATGCCAGGCTCTCTTGGCTGTGCATGTTTGTTGTGCCAGCCTTCCTCTTTCACTCTTGAAGACGCCTCCCGGTTCTGGGTGCACAGAGCCATGGCAGGCAATGCGTGGGCTCTGACATGTCGGGCAATAACTGCACAGCTGGTGTGTGTGGCCTTCGGAAGTGTGGCGTACCTGTCAGTTTGGGCCACATAACACGCTGCCGCAGGGTGGTGGCAGAAACAACAGACATTGCCCTTCTCACAGTTCTGGAAGCCCAAGTCCAAGATCAAGGTGTTGGTAGGACTGGTTTCTTCTGAGGCCTCTCTGCTTGGCTTGCAGATGGTTGCCGTCTTGCTGTGTCCTCACATGGTCCCGTGTGCCCGTGTGCCACTGGTGTCTCCCGGTATATCGAATTCCCTCTCCTCATAAGGACTCCAGTCAGGCTGGATGGTGCCCATCCCAATAATCAGTTTAATTTTAACTTAATCACCTCGCCAAGGGCCCTCTCTCCAGATACAGTCACGTTCTGAAGCACCGGCTGTGAAGGCCTCAACACAGAAGCTGAGGGAAGGGCACAACTCAGCCCATGGCAGGCAGGTTGTTTTGTGGCTGGGTTATGCCATTTTTTCACAGCATGAGGGGGAAGGACAAGAGAAGCCAGCGCTGGCCAGCCTCTGACTGGCCGTGGACCCTTGGGCAGCCCTCCTACTCTGAGGGCTTGACCTCCACGGCTCCCAGGCCCCTCCCCACCCACACCCACAGCTCTCACCATGCAGCCTCCCGTAGGAAGCTCCCCACTGCTCGTGTGTGTAACTTTCAGCTCTTGCCTGTAAACTGGCAGCAGCTGCAAAGCCCGAGCTCCCAGCCCGCTGGTACAGTGGCCGTTGGACGCTTGGGTTACATTTATGGATAACACCGCAAACGTGGTCTCCCCCAGAGCAGGGGAGCCTGGCTGGAGTGCTGGGAGAGCGGGTGACAGACCCAAAGTGGGCAGTTGTTTTGATGTGCACTGCTCCAGTTTCTGTCAGTGTAATTAACTCCCTAAGATGCACTTCCCTTTCTAAAATACTCCTTCCCTGTCACTGTGCCTGGCATGTTTTTGTGTACGTGGAAAAAAATAGAATCCCCTCCTAAGTACAAGCTGATGGTTGACCGTGAAGTCACTCGGATGGGCTTTTGCACTGGACACTGAGCTGCTAAGTGGAGGCACTCTTGTCCTGGGGGCAGGTTGGCACCTGGCTAGGAGGGCTCTGGACCATTGTCTCCCCTTCTGTGGGGGGTTGAAGGTGTCCATAATCCCACCACTATTTCAGGTTCCTTGCTGTCTGTAAATTAATCCCAGAACTGGGGCCTATCTGCAGCCTCTTCTCGATCAAAAGATTTTTAATCAAACATCAAAACGTATAAACAACTCAGAAACCAGAAATTAGGATCTTTCCTTAATATACTTTCTGATCTTTTGTTTCTTCAAGGACTGCAAAAAAAAAAAAAAAAAAAGCCTAGGTGGCTTTTATTTTTTCACTGTTAAGAAACGGGAGAGGTGACTGATGAACCAAAGGGCCATACATCATGGAATAAAATAACCGGAGGCTACCAGTGACCACGGAGGCACAGTTCCAAGTTGGCTCGTGCTTCCTTCTGGCCCCACAGGTGGGTCATGCCCAGCAGCACCAGATGACCTTCAAGGGACAGTGTGCAGTCAGGGCTGCTCCCAGAGCCGGGGTGGGGATGGTGGCAAGTGATATCCCCAGAGGTTCGTACGTGGGGGGGGCCCATCATTTGTGTTTGGGCGACTCTCCCTTCTCGCTAGGATAAAAGTGGTCTCTTTCCTGAGAAACAGAACCAAAAATGTGTATAAAGAGAGAGATTTATTTAACGAGTTGACTCACACAGCTGGAGGTTTGACCAGTCCAACCAAAATCTGACAAGGAAGGAGGCAGGCCAGAGACTCAGGGAAGAACAGCACTTCAAGCCCAAAGCTAGCCTTCTGGCAGAAAACCCTTCGTGCTCAAGGGAGGTCATCAACGGATTAGATGAGGCCCACCCACATTATGGAGGGCATCTGCTTTTCTCGGTGTCCACCCATGCAAATGTTAGTCTCATACAAAAAACACCTTCACAAAGCCAACCAGAAACATATTTGACCCAATATCTTGGCACTGTGTCCCCGTCAACCCAAGACATACAGTTTGCCGTCCTAAGCGAATGAAGGACAGAGGAGGGCAGGGGAGATGGCACTCCGCCTGAGTGAGCAGCGTGGCCCCTGAACTCTGCTCCCAGCAGGCTGGCCGTCTGGCTCGGACGGCCTGCCCAGTGGGCCCAAGAATCTGTTGAGGGCTCTGCCGAGTCTTGACTCTACCCGCCACTCAGGGAATCACTCTATGTGCCCATATGACACTGGGAAGTTAATCCGCCTTTGGAACGCGTCACCCTGCGGGTGAGTGGGTGCAGAAGCGGGTGAAGCATGGACTCCCCCACGTGTGCTTGCACTTGGGCAAAGCCAGGTTGGGACGGGCAGAACTGGCTAGTGCCGCAAGCGTGGGCTCAGTGTGGCTGGGATCCCTGTGGCTGCTCTACGTGGCCCGGGAGAGAGGAGGCTCGGTGGCCACCTCCCCAGGATGGAGGGTGAGGCCATCGCCCCCAGCAGGCCCCAGGGGCTGTGCACCCCACAAGGGGTTCCCGGCACACATATGAGCTGACAGGAATCGGGCAGGTTCCTGCCAGGATCCACCTGTCCCAGGGGCCAGGCCTCAGGTCCTTGGTGCTGGCAGAGCTGGGGTCTCTGGGTTCTCATGTCCCCTGTGCCAGGATCTTCTGCTCTGTGACCTTGGGCAGGTCATACCCTCCCGGGCCTGTCGCGACTTTCTGGTGTGTGAAGCCAAGATGCCCCATCCCCTTGCTCTGAGGCCCTTGGGGTTTGCAGGCAGCCGGCCCTCTGCCGCTGGTTCAGAGGCCTGAGTTCCCATCCAGTGCTGCACCACCCTCTGTGTGTGGCCAGCAGTCCTCAGTCTGCTCACGTCTATACTGAGAGAGGGATGGATGACACCCTCTCCAGTCTCTGTTCCCAGAACCTACCCCCCAACTCAGAATGCTGCGGGTTTTACAAGCCAAACCCAGCCCGGCTCAAGCGGTAGATCCTGCCTCCTCCCAGAGGCACCTGAAGACTGGAGTTCAGCTGAGCGGTCAGAAACTGGAGGAGGCACTCTGTGTGTGCAGAAAGGAGTACAAATGGCAGGCGGCAGCAGGAGGAGAGAGGACTGTGGGGAGCGAGGCCGAGCTGCACGGCCTGCATCGTCGGTCGGGCGCAAGATGGCAACCGCACCTCCGACGCAGCCTGCCAGGACGCAGCCACATCAGCAGGAAGAGAAGGAGGCCGCTCCCTGCGTGATCTACTTTCTTCTTTTTCTTTCTTTCTTTTTCTTCCCTGCCTCCTCCCTTCCCTTCTCCCTGCTTCTTTCTTTCCTTCTGAGATGAGGTCTTGCTCCGTTGCCCAGGCTGGACTTGCATGCCGGGGCTCAGCTTCCCAAAGTGCTGGGATTACAGACATGAGCCACCATGCCCAGCCCCTCTATGTCTTTCTTAGGAATAGAGACGCTTTCCCGGAGGCAACCCTGCAGACTTTACCGCGGGTTTATTTGGCCCCAACCTGGTCGTTCCAAGGCGCCCTTCTTAAGCTGCCATCCAGCATGGGGAGCAGGGTGGCCACGTGCTCCAGTTATCTGTTGGCGTACAGCTAATTCCCCCAAAAC